CCAAGTCAGTATTTTCTTCTCTTCCACGCAAAAGACTCGATTTCTGACAACAACACCGATTTGATACGTAGCTTCGGAGTATTTACCTTCACGGACGTAACCCCTGTCGGTGCAGGTCCGGCAAATGGGCCCACCTCCGCTGGATACACGATCCCTCAGTACACGGAAGGTGTCAGGCAAAGTGCTATCGTCTGTCTTTCTGGATCCTCATATGGGGCGGTGTTCTCACTAACCTGATTTCAGTGGAACTACGATCGCGCTACGCAGACTGTCAAGCCTGTCTGGATCAACCCGGATGGCTCAGCTCTGAACATTACTATTCACTATGATGCTCGTGAATGTAAGTCCCGCCTCTTTTTCTGTGCCTGGTCGTCACTTACACTCGCTCCCCTTCCTCACGGATAGCCGGCTTCTTCTTCACCGGCGACCCAGACGCCTATGCCGCTAAGTATGGCGTTGATTTCATTGAATGCGTAAGTCCTCTCTCTCTGGTTGTTCTCTTTCTCTTGCTATGATATTGAAGATGCGGTCGATACGCTTGCAGACCCTCACCTTTGTGCCTATCCCATGGACCGTGGCTTGAAGAAGCTCTCGGGAATATAGCGTGCGTGAAGTGCTCGACCTGGAGGATGCTTACCTCTCAAAATGTTCGATTTTCTCCATTTACTTTTTTTTGCTTTCGTATACCCTGTCCACCTCTCGAGTTAAAATTCCATCACCTTACTCCTGTGATAGACTGAAATAGTGGCTTTCGCTTGTCAACGAATCAGTGGCACACAAATTGCCGACCCGAGAAAAACAAAACACTCGAGTGGCGGCAACGTTCAACTTCAGCTTCAACCGTCATCTGCGGGCTCCAAATCTCTCCCTTGCACAGCGCGTTGCCTCCCTTCAAGGATCGCTCCCACTTTCTCCCACCCATACCTATATCCAAACACTTCTGTATCGAGCGGACACCATGACGGACGATGTAAACTTGAAGCAGACGAGGGCAACGTTGAGATCGGTTTGGGAAGAGACCGGTTACGAAGGGCTCTCCTTCGAGGCGTCCTACGAGTCGTTCGTTTCAAGGTTCGGCAAGGACTTGCCTAGTCAAGACGAAATCTCCTCCTTTCTGCGTGACACAGAGCTGTTCGACGACTACAACGAAAAGTGGCCGACAATTCCTGAGAACTTGTGCCACAAGGACCTCGTCGTTGAGGTCCAGAAAATTATGAAGGAGGTTATAGCCTATTTCAAGTACACCAGCCGGGAAATTCAAGCGCTCCGTCAGGAAAGTGTGGCCGTAGACATTCCCCTCGGAGAGAAGAGCGATAACACGTGGAATGTAGAAGTTGCACCCGACCTTATCGTCATAGGTAAGGGATGGGCGTATCACCCTAGACTCAGAGACGGGGAGCTCTACCCAACCTCATGGGCTACCCACATGCAGCAGACGTCCAGTGTCATCATAGTTCGTACCTCCGAAGATATCGAAGATCCCAAACGCGACCTCCAGACTGATTTAGAGGCGTCATTCTTTGCACAGTGCGTCGCCCCCTATTTTTCGTCGCCGCTGGATTTCCGTCTCATTTTTCGCTTGGATAGGCAATGTTTTTATCATCAATGCAATCGGATTTTCTGTTTTGTCCTCGTCGTGGGAGCAGGATGCGTCCAGCTTATGTACTACGATCGCGGAGGGAAGCTGTATTCGCCGCTCACTTCCATTCACCTCCGCCCGAACGAGTTCGTCTGGTACCTCCTCCTGGTATCATCCACAAATGATGAGGTTCTCGGTTTCGACGAGACTGTACGCTGGGACAGCGAGACACAAACGCATACCCTAACCACAGTCGACGAAGCCGGTAACAAGGTTCAGTATCCTCTCAAGTGCTTCGAGCCTATTTTTCGATCAGATGAACTTAAAGGGCGAATCACCACATGCTGGGAAGTCGAGGGCAAGAATGGCGAGCGATTGATCGTGAAAGACACCTGGAGAGAGGAAGGTTCAGAAATACATCCGGAATGGGCGCTACGAGGCCTTACGAAGGGGATGCAAGGTGTCAGCCAAATAATCGCCTATGAGTTAGATTGCAATTTAAACAACCTCAGACACCCCTTCTGTCATCCCGATTTCAAGAATCACATTCGCATTCGGACGACTATGAAAGCTTATGGGAAGACGATCGATCATTTTGAGAATCGGGAGCAGCTGCTGTATGCATTTCGCGATGCTGTCGCTGGTAAGTGTCCTTGCATTTTTAATATATTGATCGCTGAGTCTGATGGATGTTTTAGGTCATCGAAATTTATGGGACCGAGGCATCCTTCATCGCGATATCTCGGCCAATAACATTTTACTCGGCGATTCTGACGCCCCAGCAGGCGATCGAGGTATCATAATCGATTTCGAGACTGCTATCCGCCTGGAATCCGAGCAGCCTCTCCTTGGGAAAGCAACGGTGGTAAGAAATTTCTTTTCTTATGTCGGGGGTTCCATTCCTAAATTACTCCTGTATTCCAGGGGACTGTTCCGTACATGTCAACCAACATATTGGCAATGGTATTGACAGATGCCGGACTTCTCCCTTCATGGCGAAGCCAGGGTGATTTCCACACCCATCTAGACGATCTCTGGTCGTTCTTTTACATCCTCTGCTGGTGCTGCTTTGCCGGCAAAGGTAATCCGGCAGCACACTGTCGAATGCTGAATGAGTGGGGACAGGATGCGGAGGAGTCACTGCGCTCCAAGCGTGAATTTCATGATACCGTGAAATATGGGTACTATCCGGTCCCGCCCTCATTCGGTGCTATCTTCGATCGACTCATCATCTCTCTATGCACTTACTTGGAGGATTCAGAAAGAAGGTTCGCGAGGACTCTCCTCTACCTCGCAGGTGACAGTGGAATTGTTGCAAAAGAAAGCATAGATTGCCATGCGAAGACTCATTATGACGGATATTTGGAGATAATCGACATGATAATTGGGTTGATGGAAGGAGAGATACAATGTGAAGACGGGCTCGAGCGCCGCGTCAAAGTAACCGCCCAAGAGCCCGGTTTGCCTACGTCTGGAGAAACTGAAGCAGCACCATTAGGTGACATGCCCCTAAATATTCCGAATGGAAAGCGAAAGCGAGATGTTCACGACGAGGGCGAACACGACATCAAAGACGATGGGAAGATGAAGGCCAGGAAAGACAAGAAAATTCCGGCCTGATATTAGAGGTGCGGGCTATAAATTGGATAAAAGGGCCATCGTTCATAATGACTTAAAGTGTTTGTTTCCTGACATCGTGATAATTTCCCTTGGACTTCTCAATGTAATAGTAGAAAATGAACTAGAATAAGAGCGGTAATAAGATAAGATGGCCAACCTTACCCTTTTTTCTGCGCTCACGTCAGTAATCGATATATGTTAGCCTACAGTTGATGGGGGCTTGGACCACCTTGAGTCCTCCAAGTGTTCGTGGTCAGTCCAGGGCGAAGGGAAGATGGAGTAAGCGGGCGGCTAACCCCTAACAACCCCACTGCGCAGCTAAGCTGGAAGCACGACTTTAAGCGCCCAAAGGTGATGGAACAAGACATATTCTTGGCTTAAATAGCTGGCTAACGCGGGTCCATGCCCCCGCCGCTCGGAGAGTTTGAAGTACTGGTCTATTCCTTTCTACCGCCTCTTCCTTCGGTACTGCCCGTGCGGCGGCGCGGGTTCAAATGTTGCCACTCGATAAGTGGTCTCGGCGCCGTGGCCCAAGTGTGGCAATCGTGGAAAAAAAGATTCGCACAGTGGATTTCCTTGGTTGAACTGTGGCATAACTACCACGACGACGTCCCTAAGCGTTGAACTTTCGAGCCTGAAGCCACCTCGCGCTACCCTTTCGCGCTCCCCACACCCGGCTTTGTCTCCTACCGACTCACCGACTAAATCAAGGGCGATGTCGGTACTTCCCAGTTATTCGAAAGGGACCGAGGAAATTGAAGAGAGGTTGGTCGAGCTCTGGGACGAGGTCCAGTCTCCGTCCTTCCTGTATAACGCCAGCAAGAATTATATTATCTCCAACTTTGGAAGTAATATCCCCAGTTCTCAGAAGGTTCAGTCCTTTTTGAACGGAAAAGGATTATACAGCAGCAACGAAAGAAAGTGGACGAAGCTAGCGGGACGGGGTCCAGGTAACAACCTCAAAGTCGAGATGCAGTGCATCCTAGCCAAAGTCGTCTCCAAGCTTGGATCTCGTGGGATGAGGGTATTCTCGCTTCTCCCTTTCTACCAAGACATCACACTCGAGACTCGCGTCGACGTTGAGGAAACGTGGTCTGTGCAGGCCACACCCGACTTAGTCGTCACCGCGAAAGGCGAGAATTTCAAATCCACGAGGCCAGGGTGTGAAGGAGACGCGTCTCTATTCGCATCGCACATCGAAAGAGCAGCAGGCGTTGTAATGGTGAGGACGGACCAGGATTTCGACAGTGCTCCCAAGAAGATCCTACTTGAGGCTGCATACTTCGCTGGGCGAGTAAATCATCAGTCTTCGATTTAGATGACGATTGCTGAAACACTCTTGCTTCATAGTGTATGCTTCTTCGAGCAAGGAAATCGATTTTTCTTTCACGTTGTCGTCGTCACCAACTCGCGTGTTCAGCTCCTGCGCTTCGACCGCGCGGGCTGCTTGGCATCGCCAGCTGTGAATACCCACGAGGATCCGATCTATTTCGTACAATGCTTGCTTCTCCTCTGCACCATGAAGGATACCGTACTCGGTGTCGACAAGATGGTCACCTGGAATGGTGACTCCCGCTTCATCGAAGCAGAAACCCTGGCGAAGAAAGATATGAAATACCTTCTTATAAAGCCCTACCCAGTGTTTCGGTCGTTCGGCATTCAAGGCCGTTGCACGACCTGCTGGAGAGCCATGGATGACGAAGGAGAAGAGGTATTCATAAAGGATACGCACAGGGACGTTCAGCATGGGGTAATACCCGAATGGAAGATGCTTTTAGCTGCGCAAGGTGCCGAGGGCGTTGGGCAGATGCTGGGGTATGAAGAAGACATTTCTCTATACCATCGGAGAGGGTATTTCCGCGTCGACGAGAATTTCGAGAATCGTATGCCCGTCAGACTTACACTGAAGGCATACGGTCCATCTCTTCGTTGTTTCCAGACTCGCGGGCAATTCCTCTACGCGTTCCGTGATGCTGTCGCAGGCAGGATATTTCTTGCTAGAGTCTAAATCCATGGGCTAACGAATAGTTTAGCTCACCGGAACCTGTGGAACAGGGACATTTTACACCGAGACGTATCTCTCAACAACGTACTTCTCGGCAAGCCGAACGCACCGGCCGGGCAACGAGGAATCCTCATCGACCTGGACATGGCGGTGAAATTGGGCCCATTAGACCGCCTGCCCCGAGCGTCGGACAGATCGGTTTGTTTACTTCCTCCCCTCCTCTATTTTCTCTGACCCCATGTCTGTTCTGTTCTTAGGGAACTCTCTCGTATTTCTCAACAACGATTCTCAGATTTGCGACGAGGTTGAGCTACGACCCAAAGAAGTTAGAGGATCCTAGGGACTACCACACGCACTGGGAAGACCTTCAATCTTTCTTTTATCTCTTATGCCATATCTGCCTAGGCTATTCAGGCCCCGGAGAAGAAGCCGATCCATACCCTCTCCTCCTCGAGGAGTGGAACGACGACTACGATACCGCGCTAGAGGCGAAGGAAGAATTCCTCGACGATGAGGGCCGAGAAGTGTACAAGGCGACACCGTACTTCGGGGGAATATTCGACAGCCTCCTTATCGAGCTGTATGAGTTCCTTGAACGAACAGATGATGAATTTACTCGCACACTCGTCGGCCTTTCAAAAAGACTCGAGTTCATCACGAAGGCCGACATCGATGAATATGCGAAAACCCATTATGAAGAATATCTTACGATCATTGACCGAGCTATTTCGGCCTTGGAGGCAGAGACGCAAGAGGTTGTTCAGCCCGCAGGTATTACTAAAGTGTCTACAAGGAGGGCTATTCTGCCGCAACCGGCTCCTACTGTTGTCGCGCATGTATTGGCGGACATCAAGCTCAATTCTCGTCAGCCTGAGGGAAAACGGAAACGAGACGCTCTGGACGAGCAATTAACAGAGGAGGACAATATGGACAATATCCAGGGTCTAGTTAAGGCGAGAAAAGTGAAGAAGGCGAAAAAGGCAAAGAGCGCCACTTGACGACGACAGCCGTAGTTTTAAAGAATGGACTGGATGGACTTGGATTATATAAATTACTTATACGACTGGATGGACTGTTTCGTGTCTTGTCAAAAATATATCACTGTTTCTAGCCAAACTACACAAATAGTATTTTGCTATCATCAGCTTGATCGTTCACTCAACATAATACACCGTACGCTCAGAGAGTGTTCTGATTCTCGTAGGTGTATGTCGCATTTCCGTCGACCGCAACAGCTGTGAAATGATTAGCACTCGGGCCGAAATGACGGAGGAAGAAACTTACTGATATACCCAAGCAAGCCCTCGTCCAAGGAGCTTCCCAGATTCTCGAGACTGAGAGGAATTCGTCAATGCCTATAACACATTACGACGGGAAAGAGATCGCCTACTTGACAAAAGCGCCATCACCGGCCATCTCAATCCACATATCTTCGCTGTTGAGGGTGCGTTCCTGCGTGTTCGCCGTATACGGATCGGTGGCGTAGACCGCATCGTTCCAAGACTCCTCAAAGAAGAACTGGCCGATATGGGTGAGGGTGCCCGAGGAGGAAATGATCGTACTGGGATTTAAGGAAGGCGTATTCGTCGTGAGTCTCATGTTTCCGGGGGAATAAGACGAGAATAACTCACCCATTAGCTTGCTGCTCAGAATCTTTGTGAATCATCGTATGGATATGGGCTGTACGGCCGCGATAGAAGCCCGGATAAATCGTCGTAAGCTCGATGATGCCTTGGTCGTTCGTGAAATGCCCGCCGCGGAGGAAGGTGTCTTTCTTGACGTCGCCACCTTCGTAGCCACCGTAGGCCCCAGTTGCGTTAGCTGGTAAACGTAAATATTGAGCGGGAAATATAAGCTTCGACTGGGTGAGTCCACACACCATTCCAGAGTTCAACGAACGCATTGACGAAAGGCTCGCAGGTGGTCGTGTCAATAACACCGATGTCGAGGACAAGGGTCTGCCCACTACATTAGAGAAGTGTCAGAGAGGTATCAAAGAGTGAACAAACGATTCGACTTACGGCTGGGTCTCGCGAAGGTCGTATCGAATGTACTCATTGCCGATGTAATACGGGCCTTCGATGACTTCCGGAGCGGTAACGCAAGTCGACTAGGGATGCGGGAAATTTGACTTTAGCAACTTACAAAATTAAGGCAATGAGAGATGCTAAACGTACATTTTGAATAGTGCTATAGTGAGGGTTCGGAGCCGTAGCAGTGGTCGACGGCTCTTGCCTCCTGCCCATGCGCAGCTCGCGTCGCTCACGGCGAACTCTTTCAAATTCGGCGATGGCAGGCGCGCACTTACGAGCTTGGAGGGCCCGGGCCTCGTGTTGAGCCTACAGAAATCGGATTGAGACTTGATAAATATGTCTTAGAGACCATGAGAGGACTTACTCTGTTGACAAGTTCTGCGTGGCCGCCAGGGTGCGCTGTGCGAGGCGAAATTAGGTGAAGGACCGGATATGAGCGCCGGGGCACATACCTGCTACAAGAGAACCAAGAACGATGAACGACGCGAACAGTGAAAGATGCATTTCGAAGCGTTGCTTTGGTCAATTGAAGTTGGAGCGAAGGGAAGCGGTATCCTGCCCTCCAGTCACGAAATAGCGTCGCTTTTAAACCTCTCGACCTTTACAAAATAAAAAAAACTGTTGAAACGCTGGGAAGTGACCATCGTTGGTACTTGGCCTCGCGCACGCTGCGGAGAAGCTCGAACCCAGCAGGACTCCGACGGATCGCAGGGGGAACAAGGAATGTTGCAGCCAGTAAAAATCTAGGCATTAGAAAGTGCGTGACGTCGGATGCTTGCTGTCTAAATGGATAATTAGACGTGTGGGCCTCGTCGAGGACTATTACTCTGCGCAAGGCAGGTCTTTAGCGAGAAGAATGAGCGACAGAGCGGACTTCCGTACCAAGGCGATTGCTCTAGATGAATCTCCTCGTGAAACACGGTGAAATAGCACTTCTTTGGATACTTTAGGATCTACTTCGGCATTCGTGCGAAGATCTAAAGCGAGCGCTAGTAGCCACTAACAATGGATCAGCCTAATTTTGGGCAAAGAATGGACGAGTAAACGGACCTCTGTCGCCATGATCCAGTATTTGAATGTGAGCAAACGATGTCTGCGAGTGCGAAAGTCGCAGCGCAGCTCTACAGTCTTCTAGCTTGAGGATAGCGCCAGTCGAGAAGTGGAGCGAGTGTATCCGTGCTGCGATTTGGCGTCCTTGTTAGAAATCGGGAATTTATTTTCTAAACGCAAAAAGTTAGACGCGTCGTTTTGTATCTTTTGAGAGTCCATGCAGGTGGAACCATTCTCCAACTTCAAGTCGCCCTTAAGCATGTAGGCCTGCGTGGAAGGTGATCTGCTCAAGCTCGAAGCATAGTCGAATGCAACAATCTTCTCCCGCCAGAATTTTAAGGCAAATCTATCCTGCCACCGAGATCGTGGGTGAGTATATGCGCTGTACGGTCGAAAATGCAACAATTCGCACCTCAATTTGCCTCGGGATCTTCTACCTGTCAGACAATCGGTTGGACACAACTTGCGGTGGAACTAGGTATGCATACTGACCCTCGTGGGCTTCTGCAGTTTCGAGACCCCAAGACCAGAAGACAAGCTGATCAGGCTGGTAGCAGTGGTACTGCCACTGGGCGACCACAGCAAACATTGCACGTGACGGCGTCTCTTGCTTATATTACATAATCATCCTCCCAGGTACCAGTCAGCGTTTTCTTTCTTTACATATCCTCGACCCGCTTCTGGCCTATGTAGACGAAGCTCTACCGGCATGTATTTCTGTACCTTCCCTGTCCAAAATTTTCTCGACCACATTTTCACCCTTTCCACCGCCACAAGAGGGTGCGTAAATACTGCAGAAGACCCGCCTCGCTTAGACATCATGGGACTCTCCTTCACGAAGTTGCATAAGCAGAACTAGGCGACTAACAGAATCTCAAGGGGGCTGTCGACCGTTTCGCGTTTCGCCTGGTCTCGAATTTCGTGGCCATTTTTGCCAGGGTCTGTTGCAACCCCTGTTGGGTTATCCTGACGCTTCTACCCTGGTTTCGCACCGATGTCGCTACCCAACGAAACCAGCACAATTTAAACATCTCGCTGAGCTAATGATTTGCATTGTTCACCGTATTGAGGCACAGCACAACCCAGCGCCAGAATTTCGACCGACAAGGCCCGACGGAACGACGCAGGTCCGAGTTGCTGTCAAAATTTAGGCGCCCGAACGTCATACAACAGTCTGTCGATCACTGGTCACCATTCGACGTAGACTCGCCCACGTAAGTTTGCTGCTTGAAGCACTGTCCATCTGGTCGGTCAAATTAATAGACTACACAGCCTACATTGACGTTGCGCTGACAGCGGATAATCGTATTCTGCCAAAAGACTTAGTTTCTCGACGCAGTGGACGAAATCCAGAAACTTTGGTAGACATGGGGTCCGTACGTATGGCCCGTTGCAAATTATGTTCGACAGCCTATTTACGGATCCGGGCGGTAGCGGGTGTATTTGAAGTCTCGAGAATCTAGTCCTTTGCCCAAGAAAGCGTCAGACGCCCCTCCTTCCCCTCTATGTCTCATCATCCACCTGGCGACCCTATATACCAAGATTTATTTCCCTATACGCGGGGCGCGGTCCTTAATTCAGGAGACTTCACTTCTGTCAGCGGCGGGCACGTCTACGAGCATCCGGGAAGTTGGACTGCCCCACCGCCCCACCGCACGCCTACAAATGAACGTGATGAACCTGTCGGAAGGTTTTTCTATAAAGCAGAGGCGCTGACAATCAATAGAGGAAGCTACACTGCCGTCAGTGGTGGGGACGTCCATCGTATCCGTGCTCCCGATCGTGAGGTACAAGCGCAGAAGGCAGCCCAAAGCGCTCAGGCACATTATCATTATGTTCCGCCGCCAGTGCATGGATGGGTGAATGGATATGGACCTCCTCAGGCAGAAGGGAGCGCCTTTCCTGCGTCGTATTCTTATCCACCCGTCCAGCCTTCCTTTGGTCCACAAACGAGTGTGTTGGATAGCCCAGTCATATTTGCGAGCACGTACTAACGAGAAGTTTCCAGACGTTACGCCGTCGGCGCACCCATATCTACCGCTAGGACCTTCAGCATTTTATCCCCCTCCTGTTCCATATGGTCAGAATCATTATGACCCCCGGGACGTTACGAGGATATGGAACGAGTTGGGCATACGCGTAAGTACCCACCTTCCACGTTGGGAAGCGCTAACTGTTGCCGCTCCCAGGAACAAAGCCGAAGAAGAACACGAAGCGACAGGGCTCCGACTCTGAATCGGACGGCGAGATAGTAAGCGCCCGACTGGCGAGCGTCTCGATGAAAGCGCACGAATTGAAACACTACTGTCCGAAAAGCCCTCACAAGTCAGACGGTGCTTATCTACCTTCTCCACCGGGAAGTGTTATTTCCATGAAGAAAAAGAAGCATGTGAGAAGCGAGACCGAACAAGGACCTCGTTACTAAATATCTCATGAGGGAAGAACTGATGCATTGGAGTGTTGAATGCTGTCCGCGTATGTACTTCAGTTTCTAGATTATCAAGCCAGGCATGAAACGGTAAATCCTTCTCCTTCGACGCTTATAATGGCTATAGTCATGTTCTATTGTTGGTCCAACGGCGTTCATGCTGAAAACCGACTCGGGAGAGAAGGAGAATGTTTCGGCTGCGCGGTGCAAGGGACGACAGTGGTCACTTGGCGTGTAGTAGTGATTCAAATAAAGCTGAATCTAATTAAATTTATGCGAGAGTCGACTTGAATGATTTGGAATAATATTTAACAGACATTTCAAGGGGATGTTGGAATTTTGGTTAAAAAAAATCGATTTTATCCCGCGCTTGAAGAACGTAGGGGTGATCGTGAGAATATATCGTCTGCCGAATTCGGCATCCGGTCATCATCTGCCGCAGCGTTCCTCGCTGTCACCGACAACGACGAGCACCTCTTCCTTTCTCCACGATGGCAACCGCGGGTGGCCTCTCACGACGGCGCGTAGGCGGGGGCGCAGGGGGCTCCTCCTACAACGACGAAGACGACGACAAGAAGTCCAGCCAGGCCAACGGTCACTCTCGCAGTGCAAGCAGGTCGGGGACACCACCAGGGGCGAGCACGAACTACCACGCGGGGTCTGCGTTCGAAGGCGGCAGCAAGATCGCATTCGACCCTCGAGATTTGCAGCAGGACGCCAGCGAGGAGGCGAGGATTGGCGGGAAGATGCCCAAGCTGACGATCATGGAGGAGGTTTTGTTGTTGGGGATTAAGGACAAGCAAGTGAGTGTTCTTATTCGTGTATTATCTTATTTTCTGCTCCTTTGTTGTGTGGAACTCTCGGACTGGGTACGGGGGCTCAGCATTCAGCGGAGAACCCACCGCGTTGGGCGGCCATGTTCGTTCATCTCGCTGCACCACCAAGGCATTTCGATAGGGTGTCCTACTCGGCCAATCCAGCCCATATGGCCTACGTCAAGCACGAAGAAGGCACCTCCTTCGTGCTCAGCGTTTGGACCGAGGACAGCCCCAACAGTTTGCGAACTCCGACCACGTCAAGCAGAATCATCTCGCATATGACGGGGGCATCGTTCTGGGCAATTCGGAGATTCTTTCGCCTTTGTGCGGCATAGGGGTCCCTTCTCTTCGATAGAGACGTGGTGCTGGGTACTTGGCCGATGTGGTGTATCGACCAGCTCGGCCACGTTAGTGGGGTATCAGCCCTTGTGGAGGTTCAGCCACGCCCGATTCGCCTTTGCTGTTCATGGCCCAAGACCCTTCTGCCGTCGTCAATGGCGGGCGGGTGCCATTTTGTTTGCCTTTTTCTTCGTCGCGGTGGATGCACAGGAGACGGGCTGAGTCCCAGCGACGTGTTCCCTCGTTCGCTAGCAGAGTCCGTCGTCAGTCGTCGGAATGCCTGCTTTCTCAGTGCGTGTCGAACCCACGAGGACTGCGCAACTGCATGATGAATTCATCTTCATGCCCGGTCCTCCTTCGCGTAGTCATCGGCGACAGCCACATTCCTCGACAATATCGCGCTACATTCTTAATGCTCTCGTTGTAATTCTTTCGCCTATCTTCTCTTCGTCCTCGTCCCGTCTCTGGTCTCGATGCTAATTTGTTCTAGGGCTACCTATCATTTTGGAACGACAACATCTCATATGCCCTCCGCGGCTGCATTCTGATAGAACTTGCCCTGCGTCGACGAATAGCTCTGGATCGAGATCCCAACCGACGACGGATGCCCATCGCAGACCGCATCGTGGAGGTGATAGACGACCGACAAACAGGCGAGACCCTCCTGGACGAGGCCCTCAAGATGATGAAGGCGCAGCAGGAGGTTGAAAAGATGAGCATCAACTCATGGATTGATCTGATGAGCGGTGCGTACTCGTGTCTGTCGAGCCGGTACGACGTTTACGTGGTGGTGCGCAGGCGAGACATGGAACGTGATGAAAATCGGCTTCCAGCTGAAGCAGGTGCGAGAACGGCTGGCGAAGGGACTCGTGGACAAGGGCGTCCTGCGGACGGAAAAACGCAACTTCCTGCTGTTCGACATGGCGACACACCCCGTGGCGGACGTGCGCACGAAAGAGGGCATCATCACTCGCGTCGTCACCCTCCTCACCTCGACAACCTCCGCCCTACCCCCCGGGGCTCTGGACAAGGAAGGCACCCAATGCCGCGTGCTTCGGGCCGTCTGTCTGGCATGTGCAGCATACACGGCGAGCGTGCTCGACAACGCGTTCGGGCGACTGGGGTACGAAGAGCGCGAGGCGGCGTTCCAGCGGTGCGACGAGATCCTGGGCGAGTTCGTCTCGTACCCGTTCGGGTCTGGCGGGATCCAGGCGGGCGGGCCGCTCACACCGGCCACGGCAGCCGGGCGGAGGAGGCAGGCGTCGAGACTGGCGAGTGGGGGCGGCATCGGAGGCGAGACGAGCGGGCGGGAGGTCGTGCTGGGTTTGGTGCAGGAGGTGCGGAAGGAGGCGGTGGGCGGCGAGGAGGACCTTGGGTTCGAGCTCATCGCGGGGGTGCTGGACGTGCTGTCCAAGCTCGATTCGCTGCTCTGATGAGGTTTAGAGGCGGACTGCCCTTGGCACACACGTTCCATGCGGAGGATATGCATACGCCTGGAGGTTCGCTTGGATTCCACCATTGGTAATTACCCTACCGGATCCCCTTCCACACTTCGACCTTTTCTCTCGATATTTTCACGAGTCCGTTTCTTCACTATTTCGCTTTTCCTCAGTCTTCCTCTCTATTTAAGTAATTTCTTTTATGTGTCCGTTCCCTTCCTTCAGTCAGTGGAGTCGAAAACGTAATGCGACTGAATCTTGTTGAAAGCCGATTTCCGGAGTTGGTTTGCGAAATGCTTACTCGAGTGCAGGTCAGCTCGGGAGAGCCTCTGATTTTCTGGAGGAGAGGGGCCGATCCTCAACCTTTTTCCTTGCTGTTTAGCGAAGGAAATTTATCCGTCGATCGAAGTTTCATGCGCCACACTCCGGCGCGGGTGATCCGCCCACGAGACGGACCATCACACTCGCATCGTTGACGACACAAAAACTATTTCTTCATAAGTAAAACATACATACTAAGTACTTTACTATCTAGTTAAACTTCAAACAAACAGTAGTTACATTGTATAACAATTGGTATTAGCCTTTAGCGTCCCGAAGAAATTATACGAAGGAGAAGGAACGTGCTCATGTATATCTAACCCGACCCAGAAATAAAACAAAATCACACCAACGCCCTCCTCCCAAAGTAAGAAACGAAACGAAACGAAGCAAACGGACAACCCAGCCAATTTCAAAGGGTTATCGCACAACCATCGTGCTCTCCTCAACGTCAACCTTCACCTGCACCACCGTCTGGTTCTCCGGCGCCTGCCGAGTCACGATATCATCCACGACCGCATCCGCCCTGCCATCCTTCGAGTTCATCTCATCCGCATCCCACCCCGACTCGCGGTCCATATCGCTCTCGCGCAGGCGCGTAACGGAGCGGGGCGACACCGGCCAGCGCAGCTCCATAGCCCCCTGGCCCAGCTGGCTCTGGCTCTGGCTCTGGATATCGATCTGGGTATCGAGGTAGGTCTGGTACTGGTGCGATTGGGCGAGCGACGACCCAAAGTGCGGGCGGTTGTCCATGTCGACGACGTGCGAGGTGCTGTACTCCCATCCGCGGAGGTGGAGGAGGAAGCGGGCGGTCATTAGGCCGGAGAGTCTGGATGGAGTGGGGGGTGAGTGAATGGGGGGAGGAGGGAGGAGGAAGGCGTACGGGAGTGTTAGAGCGTTGAGTAGGCGTTGGAGGAACGATCCGGGCTATGTTGATGGTCTGCTTAGTGCTGGAGATGAAGATATTAGAATGTTACGTACAGGAGCACGCTGGGGATGTAGTGCGTTAGTCAGAGGGAAGCGGGCCAAAGTAGATGGACTCACGAATTGAAGAATGAGGGAGGCGATAGAGAATGCGCTGACGAAGCTTCACAACGGGTGAATATCCCGGGCCCTATGGCGATCTATAACTGAAATACTTACACGAAATATAGCAAGCCTTTGATTCGGAACTTGCGTTAGACCAACGTTAAAGTTCTGCGATATTCCGGACGGACCTTGTTCCAAAACACGATATGTCAGACCCTGCTGGTTCAGCCTCCACGTCCCGTTGACCTTCATGCCCATGAGACTCTTCCCAGTGGTCAAGATCGCCGAGAGAGTTTCGTAGACGACGGTCAGGACCACGAGAACATTGCGACCTACGTCATCGGAAAGCAGATCAGCGGGGGTGCCCTGAGCACATGGAGGAGGATCGCCCTTGAAATGTATGTACCTCTGGAAATATAATGAACACCACCTCAAGGGGAAAGCGGGTGCAGAGAGAGAGAAGGACGTACGGTGGGCTGCCTTTTGCCGTCGTGCAGGAGACGTATGGAACGCCCAACTAAGCGTCGTTCGTAAGCAATCTTGCTACGCTGATACTTAGATATGCTGGGCACTCACCGCAGCCAGGGCGATGATAGCTAATCCCAACGATCCAAATAGCGCTAGGATCCACTTATTCCTGTTGAAGACGGCGTACGTCCTCGCCCCCCATACAACTGCGATGTCGAAAACATGAGATGCGGGTTAATCGACTCGAAGGGATGGAGTTGAGGCACACCGATAATCGCCGTTCTCCCGACTACACTCAGCGCCGAGCTTATTTGGTATCCACCGTCGCAACTGTTGCATGATATTGCGTTTTAGTTACCGCTCTGACAGCAGCCTAGATCGAGGAACAAGGGGAGGATAGCATGCGCACTGGTGTCCGGATGTCAGCGATTCCGCGTCCCGGGAGATAATCGGTGAGACTCACCCTTATTGTCGGTAGCTTCTCCGCCAACGCCAGCGTGTATATGACATTCGCCACCATCGCATACCGGCATGCGATGTAGAGCGCCGTCGAGATCGTAAACTTCTTCAGCCAGACATACTGCACCTCCCGCGTCCACGTCAAGGCGTAGTCGTAGTAGAGCAGAGCTAGATAACGAGTATCGGGCTCGTAAGAGAAGATGTAGAGAAGATAAAAATAACACCACTCACAGACGCTGGCGTATTGAATCGAAAACCGGAGGATCCTGAACGACGGCGCGAGCTCGAAATGACGTACTCTCGCAATCAAGAACTTCGACGACTCACCGAACCGACTTTGCGCTCGCGGTGCTCATGGCCAGGCGGTGGGCGCTCACGACGAGCGGGTAGGGGACCGTGGTGGACGGGGGTGGTCGTGGGGCGGAAGAACGAGAGCGGCCCCGCACTGAAGTCGTTGCACCACTATATAAAAATGTCTGTTGGGATCGGAGGGCAAGGGAGAGGAGAGGAAAGCTGGGCAGGTTGCGGACGCTGTAGCGATGCGCGAACTCGCACTTCTGATAAGTCGACTGTGGCCGCGTCGTCCTGAAAAGCGCCGGTGAGCTCGGGACCGCATGGTTGAAAGTCATCTGTGCACCACAATTGGCAAGAGGCAAGCAACGGAAAAGCCGGCTTCTCCGGCAACTCCTGGCTTCCCGGACTCGAGGCCGAACTTTCCAATATCTGGTCCCGCCCTCGACCTGGTTCCTTTTTCCATTGTCGTCGGCACCGAACCCATCGGAATTCCAGTGAAATACCTGTTCGAGATTTGCGCTCGAGCGTGTTCATGCACACCGAGACAAACGTCGTCCAACTCGAAACCATGTCGCCGAAAAGGTAGAAACCTGGAGTAGATAACTGCTCCTAGGTGCTCATGTAGCTGTAACCGAGCTGAACTATTTCGGTTAATCTACAACCAAGGACAAGCGCGAAGTCCTCAAGGTGCTCCCCTGAGCCAAGGAAATGGAAGAGCCAATAACCAATTTTGTCCTCGCTAATTATTATTCGAGTGTTTTTGCTCGACGCTTCGAAGTTCTGCCAATTGACTCGACGGATGACTAGGGTTTATTAAATGGAAAGTGAATAAATGCGTTCTCGAGTCTCGAGGTCCTTCTTGAGTCCTCCAAGGTTACTAACGTTGTTCATTGAGTGCTTCTTCAACCGTTGGCTGTTGCCGACCTTCGCAAGATTCGGTACAAAATACCGAATGGCTCGGGACGGAATCTGCAACCATGTGCACGAAAGATCGGACCTTGATCGATGATCGTCGATCGCGATCGACAAACTGAGCGGCTAAATCTTCAACCAAACAAACTCCCCAGTCTGAGGTCCCTTTTCTTCGCTCGTTGGAATATATGGAAGACTCTGAAAGAAGCGCTAGTAACGCATTAATTTTCTGCGCATTTCCGTAGGGAGACCAAGCGGACTCCAGAATGATTCTGGAGACGAGGTCGCTGCCGAAGGTTCTTTGTTTGTCTTTCGCTGCCATCTTGACATCGCTGCTGATTCCAACGGCGGCATAAGGCGATATATCGTACATCTACCCCGAATTGACCGCTCAATACGGTCTTCTATTTTCCCGAATCTGGTATACAAACTCGACTTTCATCTCTCTCGAAAACCTCGACGGGCAGCTATTTCTACGCCTCTCCCCCATTCTCAGGTCGGGTGTGCACGAGAGTAGCCCTCTGCTGAGCAGAAATCACAGGGTCCTCGCCGAACTCACCCACAATCGAGCGCATGAACCCCCTCGTCGTCATCGTCGTCGTCCCCTCAGGCGCTTTTATCCGAGGTTGGTTGAACACTATCGCAGTCTCAGTGCCAGGTCCGCTACCATACTCCCAATCCCGCAGATGGAGCAGGAAGCGCGCTGTCATTAGCCCTGATAGCCTGTGTTGGGGGTGCCGGTGAGCGGTGAGCGGTGAATGGGAGGTGGAGAAAGGGAGGAAAGGCGCACGGTAGTGTGTGGGCGTTCAGGAGTCGTTGGATGAATGTTCCGGGCTAAGTAGCTATTAGAGGGCATATATTTATGGGTCGGCCCTTAATACGCAACTGTTGCGACCTGGACGGCCCGTTAAATAAGCTAATGAATGGGCGCTAACAGAAGAAGTGGGGCTTACGTTCTGAAGGATGACCGTTCCAACCGAAAGGACCGTCACGGAGCTACAGCAGTGTTATCATACCCTCGACCCTGTTGGATCAACGGGATTAAATACCCAAAATACAGTAGACCTATACGCCATCCCGAGCTGATCAGCGACATCAACAACTCTGAGGATCATTCACCGACCTTGCTGAAAGATCAGAAAAACAAGCGTCTTCCTCTGTGTCGTCCAAGCCAAACGACCGTGGGCTACCCGGAGCGCCTTCAGGCTCCGTGCAGTCGTGAACGTGACTGCCAGAACTTCGAAGATGACCGTAAAAATAGGAAGAAGCTGGGGTGCTGCAGTGTGTGTGGAGAATCAGTCAACAGTCAACCATCGGGCTCGGCGACCAGGAAGGAGTCCTCGCTTCGCACCTCTAAGCAAAGCACGTAAGTTCATCAGGATGATGATGATGGTCTCGAAGGGGGAGATTGAGGCTTACGGTGGTGTTCCTCTGTTCCCGTTACATGCGACGTATGGGATGTGAAGCTAACGAAGAAAGATATCAGACTCGATTTCTCCCGTCGACCTCCTCGCGCCGGGAGAGAAAGGGGCACTGACGATTGCCAGTCCGATCACCGTCAACCCGAAGAGCGTGAATATGGCGAGAATCCACTTGTTCCTGTCGAAGACGGCGTAGGTCCGCGCGCCCCAGACGACTGTCGTGTCCCTATCATCAAGACTTTAAGCATACGAAGACGGGCAGAAATGGCCTACCAACGATAGCGGTCCTCCCTATACATGCCAGTATAGCAGCGATCTGATATCCATGATCACAGCTGTCGCGACGACGGTCAGCAAGAACCCACCGTCCACTCCAAGCACAAGAGTATCTCACTCTCGAGGTCATGAGCCACAGCGTCATTGGCCAGACGAAAATAGACGCTCGCTCACCCTTAGTGTGGGCAGCTTCTCGGCGAGCGCGAGCGTGTAGATCACGTTCGCCACCATACCGTATCGGAAGGCGATGTACAACGCGGTCGAGAGCGAGAACTTGCGTAGCCAGAAGTGCTGGACTTCGCGCGTCCAGGTGAGTGCGTAATCGTAGTATAGGACCGCTTTGCCGGAGGTTAGTGGGAGGTATTAGGGGATACAAGTGACAGGCGCACCGACGCTGGAGTATTGGATGCAGAATCGGATGAACCTGAAACATAAAGTTGGATATACCGATGAGAAGAGAGGAGATGGTGACGAACATCATCGCGGCCTTGGAGCTCGACATCTTGGCAGTAGCGGCCGAGGGAGTTCTGCAGAACAGACTCTAGCAATGAAATAGAATATTTTAGGTCAAAAGCGAGGGAAGGGTCAGAATTCACCATTTCAGAACCGAGTCCAGTGTTATATACCGCGCCCAGACCGAATAGCGTTCATGATAGGTGATTCTGCGCTGGTTATTCAAGGACTGACACTGATCCATTCTCCATCTCGAAGTATGGCCCCCTCGGGCACAGAAAACACGGAGGCTGGGAGTAAACAGAAGCCCGAATACGTGACGAACATCTGCTCGGAAGTTGCTGTTGGGGGTGCCAAAGCCAGTCGGATTGGCTGTATCCAATAGGTCATGGTGGTAAAAAAGACGTTTATGACAACCTTCCATACGCTGTTTGTCAGGCCCAATGGTAGCTCGCCAAGAATAGGCCACGAGAGCATGGGAGAGTGGAGTTGGTCTCACCACTTCTAGATCGCGCTGAAAACCTGTGTTGGGGATTCTATGCACGTTTGCGAGGCGAGGCAATGCTTGAGATGACCTAGATCGAGCTCACCCGTCGTGATAGTGATTTCCCGGGACGCATCTACGCGTAGACAATCTAGTTCCCGGAGTCTGCGAGGGCTCTGTAGCGGCGAAAGCCTAAGTTCAAGGAACAGCGCCTCGATTAGATGGACAGATAAGTACTCAAGTACTCAGGGCTGACTTGATGCCCCTTGTAACGATGTCGGGATCGCAGGGCGCTTATTGGGTTCAAGACTCGATCACTCTTTTTCCGTGCCTCACATCGTTCCAGACGTCTATTAGGAATAAAAAGTGTGATCTCATCGTGTTTAACCTCATAGAATGTATCAAACACCGGTTCGTGACAGACAGCTTTCTGACGACTGTCTGTAGTGGAGCAGTATCAAAGCGTACGCTGACAATGAGCGCCTTCGATAAATAAAGAGAGCGTGTTGCTCTGGGCGCTTAGTCATATTCCCTGGGGCTCGGAGAGAAGAGGATCGTAAAGGGTGACAAACCCTGAATTCGAAGCGGGTTGCGAGGGCCGTTCCGGATGTGTGGTTCCTTTCGTTGTCGTATCAGTATGGTTCTCGAGGACTTATGAATGCATTGGACGGTATGGGTATGTCCAATCCCCAATAGAGTCTGAATCTACGCCCATGCTTCGCACTTGAGCTTGAACCGCGAATCACTTTCAGGAGGGACATGGGGGTGCGTGATGTAGCCGACCCTGAGGGAAAGTGGCATACAGAATCGCAGTTGACTGAATCCTTGTTCCACACAGCCAGCTCGCTTCCCAGGTGCACGGTGCTTATGCTGAGGTATTGGTGACGATTTTGGTTATTGCTGGGAGCTTCGTGGCGCTTATCCTGATCACGGACCCAGGTGGACTGGAGATCAAGATATCGCATGCCTTCGAACACAAGCTTACACTACGTCAAACTTGCGAAATTCATGTTTAGTGGAGATATATTGCAAATTCGATATCATAGCGATTGGAAAGCAACGAGACGAACACGAGAACGGGAACGGAAAGAAAGATCGGATGATGAGCGAGGCTCCCTCGGATGGTGTTGGTGCCGACCATCGCTCCCACTCAAGCATTGATGAACATTTCATGGACCGACTCACTCAAGTGGGAGTTGAGGGCCTTTACCTCCAGATCATCCCAGCAACGCGCGGGAGGGTTCTTCTTGTCATCCTTGTCAAATTTGGACAAGAGCTCGTCGAAGAACTTGCCGGCTCCACTCATGTTCAGCACGCCGGCGACGGCAGCATGAATGGCGATGAACGTTTTGCTGGGGAGTTCGTACTGCGACGAACCTTGTGGCCCGGAACCAGACCTCGTAGAACTTGAGGGTTGAGCACCATCCTCGTCGTTGAGCTTCTTGCGCTTTTTCTGTTGGAACTCGTCGCTGCGATCTTGGAACCGCACGGGCTCATCTGGCGCAATCTGCACGTTGCCTCTCATAGTCCTTATGGTCTTTTTCGTTACATCGGAGAAATAATGAATCTTGTATTCATGTTCGACCTAAAAAAATCATGCAGTTAGAAGATCATACAAAGCAAAGTCCGCACTCACGTCGGTGGCCTTCAAGCAGAACGCGTACGCGTCCCACTCAGCATGTGCGATAAGATTGAGTGTTAAGCCATTGGCGACATGGTCGGCGTGGTCTTCGAGATTTTGGATGACCTTCTCTCCGAGTCCAGTGAAGTGCCGAAGAATATCGAACGTCAGAGCGGCTGCACGAGACTGGAAAGTACGTATCAGCTCGTGAGTACACTGAGAGAATAGACGTCAAACTGACAGCATCAGTGCCATCCTTGAAGGTGGCAACAGCTCGACGGAGTATGTGTGAAGCCTCCACGGGAGCTGCTGGGAGGTCACGGTCGTGCAGGTGTTCCTTGTCCAACCAACCTGTTATCACACATTGATACCCGTCTCGCCTCAGAACCTAAACAGAATCGGAGCGTGTTAGTGCATGGTGGAATTCTAGAAGAGGTCCAGTCATTGACATCGTCTCGAGACATCGTCCTCGACGGCTTCAATCCTTTCTGGAGCGACGCCGCGGTTGTATCAAGCGTCGGCGTCACAACGACGGATGGTGTACGATATGGCTGCTTTCTGTGGCTACCGGGACCGGCTTTGACTGAGTCAGACAATCAGTCGCATCGCGAGTCGTCACAGAAAGCGAACGAAGAACACACAAATAAACAGCACATAGAACGTCCACGTCTCTGCCACCGCCTTCAGCCGCTTCATTGAATCGAGACGTTTCTCGTCGTCGGTCAGTCCTTGTGCCTGCGATTCACAGGAAAGAATAGCAGCGAGAACGTATTTCTTGCCATCGACGCCCACAGCATGCTCAAGCATCCCTTTGAGGACTCCATCGAGTTTCAGTTTTGACCCGCAGAAATCGGTCTCGTTAAAGTCGCTAGACGAGAGGGAGGAGACGAGAAGTTCAGCTTTGGGAAGATATCTCTCAAGACCCTTCTCTGTAACGGTGCGTTGAAGGCGTTCGATGTCGGGTTTGAGCTCCTCGTAGACGCCAAGAGACACGCTGGCCGTCGAGGCCGTCGAGAGAGTGGAAGAAACAGATCCCGCCGACTGGATGCTTTTGATAGTCGCATTCGATTCGATAGAATCGTTGCGATGATGAACTTGCTGCGATTCAGCCATGATCGGGAGGAAAGAGAAGGACGTCAAGTCAGGAAATGAACGAGCCGATTTTATTTTGATCGAGAACAAGGCCAAGCAAACAAAGCCAAACTTTGCGATCGCTTGTTTGTCTTCAGGAGGGAGGCAATTGCCATGGAAGCGCCCACACCTATTGTTCATTTTCTGTGAAACCACACACCCAACCTCCTGCCGAACATCGGAAAGGAATCATGCGATTTCAGCAGCGTAGAGATTTTTCGCTATCACCTGCTCAAAACAAACCCCTGATACGCCGCATCCACGGCTGAGTAAAATCGTCTCATTTTCGCAAAATCTCATGCACATAAGATTATAGTCTGCTGCTGAGCACAACCAAAGCCCAAGAACAGGTTCTCGAGGCACGGCAAGTCAATTACACTTGTCACGTCGGTACCTGAGTGAAAATCCTTTAAGTCCCAACAACGACTCAATTAAGCGATCGACGTCGTTGGCGACTAGAGACTACTAGAGAGCGTGTCCATGGCCTTGAGTTCCGAAGTCGCGTATCGTCGGACATAGCATCCGAGCTTACCTTGTGCTCAGTACTACAGACGAGTGTGGTTAAGTACGCGTTGTTAGCGTCTGCGCTTTCCCCTCATTAGGTTCAGGACATGAGATTCAGTGTTTTTGAGTTTTGAAATTAGTTTCAATGGTTTTCAGTCAGTCAGAGCGTAACAGAGCATCCCAATCAAGTTCGAGAATTCACCCAATCACCCTGCACATTTTATTTGAGCGGAAGCCGTCTGGTATTCACTCTACGACGTCCGAAGAAGCAAATTCTAATTTTAGGTTTACCGAAGGAAGGAAGGAAGGAAGTGTATTAACCGGTACTAGGTCCCTATCAGAAACGACCGGCTCAGTGGTAAGGAAAAGAGCGTCTAAGTACATAAATATACTTCTTTTCATCTTACCCTGATCACCAACCCCGAAGTGCGACACGTCCCCTTGAAACCCTTTTAAATTGTTGAAGTGTGTGATCCTTCGATCACGCGGGCTTAGACAATTTCAAGGCTAACCTCGCAGCAAGAACTTCACCCCCGAAGCCACCTTGGAACTCCTCGATAGGAGAAATGCGCAAGGAACGTTTACACGCTCGCTCGACGTGAGTCCCTCAATTGGAGGCACATCATCGACTAGCCCATAACCACCCAGCTCGCTCTCCCTCTCTCTATCCCGCCTTCAGTTCAGCAGTCTCCAGACTTCCGAGGCGACTCGCTTAGCAGTCGACGGTGTGCTTTTAGACCACCTTCGTGGCAAAATAGCACCAGCAGAGAACGTAAAAGAACGACCAGAGGTCATCTAAGTGGGTGTGGAAATCACCCTGGCTTCGCGACGACGGTAGAAGCCCGGCATTCATCAGGGCCAGCGTCAATATTTTGGTCGACGTGAACGGGACAGTGCCCTGGAATATGGGAGTGATTTAAGAATGGAACAACGACATAGAAAATAAAATTCTTACCACTGGCGCTTTCCCAAGGAGAGGCTGCTCGGGTTCCAGGCAGATAGCCGTCCTCGATACCCTACTTGGGCATCGAAATTACCAAGTAAGATGTTATTGGCCGAGATATCACGATGAAGGATGCCACGGTCCCATAGACGGGACGTTAGCCATGCAGCAAAGACTTTGAGGAAACCTTTAGAATCATCATCGAACCAATGTTTCTCATATGCTGGGAGAGTAGATGGCGTAGATGTCGTGTTCGAATCGGTTGGCCGTCGTACGGCGCGGTAGACGAGGTGTCCGTCTCGAGTTCCTAACAGTGTATAGGCAGTCAAAAGAGTACAGCACGAGGGGAAAGTCTGCTTGAGACGAAGGATATGGAATGGCCAGAGAAAGAAAAAAGTAACAAGAGGGAAGAGACGCACACGAAGGATGATTATCCGGTGGATGTCCCGTCCCGCACGAAAG